CACGCCCCACGAAAACCTCACTGAACCTCCACACGGTGTGGGGTGGGTGGCTCGAACGGGAGGTGCATGGGTGTTTCTAACCTAAGCAAAGGAAGGGACTAGTCATCTCTACAACAAAGGAAAGGCTCTAAGAGCCTCTACTAACCTTAGAACCGCAGCATAACCGCTCTTCCCACAGGCAACTAACGCCGTCCGCAGGATAATAACACCTTCCGCAGGAAACTATAAACACGCTCACAGGCTTCATGAACGTCTACTCGTCTAGTGTAACGCCAGGATTTGGTTTTGTATCGGACGCTCAAAACAACGATAGAGGAGCGGTCTACACGCTCTCAGGCTACCACGTCTCTTGTAACCCAAGGACGCTAACAGACTCTAACACGCTCACAGGCTTCCACGTCTTGTGTACCCTAGGATTTGGTTTTGGATCGGACACTCAAAACAACGATAGAGGAGCGGTCTACACGCTCACAGGCTACCACGTCTCGTGTAACCCCAGGACGCTAACAGACTCTAACACGCTCACAGGCTTCCACGTCTTGTGTACCCTAGGATTTGGTTTTGTATCGGACACTCAAAACAACGATAGAGGAGCGGTCTACACGCTCACAGGCTACCACGTCTCGTGTAACCCCTGGATTTAACACGTTCACAGGCTCACAGGCTACCGCGCGTCTCGTGTAACCCCAGGATTTAACACGTTCACAGGCTTCCATGTCCTGTGTAACTCCAGGATTTGGTTTTGGATCGGCCTCTCAAAAAACCGATAGAGGAGCGGTCTACTGTGACATTACAGGAAGATTGCATACTCCTACGAGTTGCATGTAGCAGGCCATGACCTCCCCTGGAAGTCCCTGTCTCTCCGTCGTTAACCCAGCGGGGTTGCACCAGGGGCAGTGGTAACAGAACTTCACGACTCTCGGAGTATGTTGTCGATATATATGTTTAATATATTTATGGTATATAATTTGGAAGTCTCTCTCTCCAGCAGCAGGAGTTGGGGAAATGGGGACGCGTTGTGAAAACCACCGTAAGGAAGGCTTACTGTCGACGCCGACCAATCAGAAGAAGATATTAGATTAACGCCCACCTGCTGACCCGCGTATATATAATCATTAAATCGTGCAGTCGGTCATGAACCTATTATAACCATTTAAGTTTGTCACTGGAAGGTCTATGATCATACTCACTGCACCCACTCACATCGCTCATGTGAACGTCTAGACAGGTGAATTTACTGACGCCCCCAAATACTTAACTCGCTCGTGGGTAAAATACAAGTTGCACTCTGCCATTATCTATAACTAAATTGCACGGTGTTCCCGGTTTTCAAGCAATCATTTCTTGACGACGTGACCATCATTTTTACGTTTAGATTTTATCGTTCAGCCGGGACCCGGGTATGATAAAGATGCCATTATGTTCGGAGTTGCCCACACAATTATATACGAGACGCGTATTTATTTGTAAATGCTATCACTGTAATATCCCCGTCTGCAGGTCTATCTTGAGAGTAGGGTAAGATCTATTGATATGTCTTAATTGGGTCCCATACCATTCCAAAATTGTGCAACTACCAGTTGGTCACCATTGTAAGATGTGGTAACGATATTAGGATATGTGCCTTTATATCATTACCCTAGATTTGAGGAACGCCATTATACGTTAGGTGCAACGGTGGACGCAGCTTCCTTTTGAGGTTCAGTGGGTGCTTTGAAACCAACCAACTCCAGGCCACCATTTAATAATATTGCTAAATACTATAAGGTGGCAACCGACAGATTTATAGTTTCTCGGAATTGCAACTTTTTGCAATTGCCGAAAAACACGTGAAGTAAGCAATCAGCAGATCCATACTCGAGTCTTTATTTCCTCGAAATTTAACGCACATATTCGAGGGAAGAAAGAGTTTATAATTATACCAATACAACGCGTTATAGCGGGATCGGCCGCGTTATAACAAAGTTTGATCTTAGGTCAGTTTTTGGTGCACATACTCGAGTGCAACGGTGGACGCAGCTTCCTTTGCACTCAACTTAATTTCCATATAAGTTGAGCAATAGCTGAGCACTGTCCTAGAAAATGCGAGACGGACTTTTCCAACCAATGAGGATCAGTTTAAAATTAAGTTTTGAGGTTCAGTGGGTGCTTTGAAACCAACCATGAACTGCAGGCCACCATTTAATGATAATGCTAAATACTTATACTTATAGGTGGCAACCGACAGATATATAGTTTCTCGGAATTGCAAATTTTTGCAATTGCAGAATAACACGTGCAGTAAGTCTAGCAGATCCCTTTTAGGTCATGGGTTGGATATTAACTTACTATGAAGTAGCAATCAGCATCCATACTCGACTCTTTATTTCCTCGCAATTTAACGCACATATTTGAGGGAGGAAAGAGTTTATAATTATACCAATATAACGCGCTATAGCGGGGTCTGCGTTATTACAAAGTTTGATCAGTTTTTGATGCACATATTGCATTTGCACTTAATGTTCTCTTAGGAGGAGCTTTGTAGAGCATCAATCCATGCAATTTTAAGGTTGTGTCCTATTTTTCCTTCACATTTTGCCCAAAAAACCGCGTTATGTAAGGAGGTTCGTGTTATAGCGAGGTGCGTTATAACGCAGTTCATATGTCAAGTTCTGCGATATTCGGTTAGAGAAGTTAGAGAACTATACAGTTCAAAGATCAGTCACGGATAGGATCAATTTTTGTTTCCATTGATTTATTTGTGTTAAGTTAACTGTTAAATTAGTCCTTGTTTTTCTTTTGCTTTTTTAATTTTGGAGAGAAGTTGAGCCCATAAGAAGAGAACCATGCAGCCGAACGAAATAAGTTTTAGGTTACTCCGGTCTGATCCAGTGATTCGGACACAATATTAACACGCTCGGTGTAGGTTGCAAACTGCAAAGTTTACAATGATATAATTATGTTGGTTGTCGAAGATATCGTTGACCTGTTGACAGAGAGGTAATATTTCTGAAAATAATTTCCATTTAAGTTGAGCAATAGCTGAGCACTGTCTTAGAAAATGCGAGACGGACTTTTCCAACCAATGAGGATCAGTTTTAAAATTAAGTTTGTCGCACTTGTAGTTCTATTTTGCAACCATTGTCAAACTTAAAATATTATATTATAGCTGACGTTCAACGTCCTTTCGACCGCTCAGGTGCACAGAAAATGAATTTGCCATCGCAATGCCATTATCCAGACACCACACGTGACATTTTCATCCCCATATCTGAGTTTTGGCAAAATTCTAACCAGTTATATAACAAATATCCACAATGAATAGCAATACCACTATACCATTACCACTTACCAGCTTGCTCTTTGGAAAGTGGGTGGCACAGTACAACTTGAACTATAACTATAAGTGGCTGATCCATTGTTTACTGTGCAGAAATCAATCAATAAGTAAGCTGGTATGGAGGAACCTCTATCCTCTATTAAAATATCACCTAATACTTATAGTAATACGATGAAGAAATACTAATTCAGTAATTGCAGACCCCAATCTACGGCAATAGTCTGCGCAGTGTGCATGCTTTATAAACTACTCCCTTGGCTTTGCTATTTTGGACAGCATACGTTATTTCCCAACGAGACATTTTTAAAATGTCCCTTTTGAGGCACTAAATTTCCATATCAACGTTATATTGTTATCATGTCACTTAATTTTTGCGAATACCTTACAGTATTTCTTATCATTGACTTTTTACGTGTTTATTAATTTGGACTTGTTCTACATCTATAACTAAATAACATGGACGAACTTTCAGATTAAATTCTTTCAGAGGAAACAGAATTAGTTTTTGGTTCAAGCAACATGTTATAATTATATAAACAGATACACGGCCTATAAAACTACAACTAACATCAGAATATAAGCTCCCTGCGCGCGTGGTAGTACATTTTAATAATATATATATTAGTTATAACATTGGTTTTGGGGCCGAGAGTATATAATCAGTTCCAAGCATGATGTTATACTTATAATATGTGATTGTGACTACAAAATCTCTAAAGAAATGATTTCAGGAGATCTTTATATATTCAGCACTATACAGTGCAGCTACTGCTTATATCGTTGCTTCACTCTTTGGGTTGTGATTGTATCATTTTTTTTAAAATATGATTGTGTTGATCGTTTTGTGATGAAAGTTAAAAATCATATCCCTGTGTATAATCGTCCGATTATTACATTTTTCATAATTATATTTTTGAAGGTCACTGAAGTAGACTTAACTAGTGTTTCGTTACTCGCTGGTTTTTTAGTAAAATTTTGATATTAAATTTGGAAAAGTACCACACTGTCTTGATTATAAAATGATCTGATTTAATCACATTTCTTTCCCCTTTAGTGTGTTCTGAAATCGTAATGAAATTACCAAATACAAGTTTTTGTTTTGTTTCTGTTTTTAAGAGAGACTGGACCTAGATGGTCCACGAAAGAATAGCATGCGGATGCTCTGCCTGCCTCTGAGATATAGCAAGGTGGTTACAAGGGTTATATATGTAAAGTGAAAATAATATAAGTTGCTACAATATTGGTTGACTTGCAGAACAAAATTGAAAATTGTACGTTCTATTAGAGTATTAGAGTATTACTTTATTAGCAGGAATCCTTGCTAAAGAGTCGACCAGGCAGTTTAATTTATTTAACTCTTGTCCGAAATAGATCATCCCTTTTTAAATCAAAATTGAAAATTGCCTAGCACCATTTTTAATCACAAGTCAAGTTACATGGCTAAGTTAATATATAGATCTGGCAGTCAGGCGATCAGATTGGGGTTAAAGCGAGAAAGTGACGCGAAGGCGAGACTGATCATAGCTTTACAATTTCACAACTTTCCCGTGAACAGGAATGCTCCGAATGTTGGATAGATTTTTAAAATCATTAAGTTGTTGTAGATTTATTAATTAATCAATTAATTACATTTTTATAACTTTATAAGTGTCAGTTTATTTAATAAATTCTTGGTACTCACTTGATACTATAGTAGAAGTTAGAATAGTGGTCAAGATTAGGCTGATTACCTTCATTGAATAGCTTAAAATGGGACATTAGGTTATTTGACGAAGTCATATCTTTATATTAATTAAAAGTTCTAAAGAAGGGATAACTAAAAACAACACCCAAATCTAATATTTTTATAAAACAAATAACTAAATGTCAAAACTTCATTGTAATTTCTGCCAATATCTCTTGTCATACCTTACTCGGGAATATTATGACTGGGATAAAGTGAATTCCGCCATATTTTTCCCGGTCATTAATTTTCCCAGTCATAAATTAAACCGCTATACTATTCCCGAGTAAGGTAAACTAGTAATAATACATTTTGATGCTTGGTGGGTTTTGGAAAATTCCGCCATATTTTTTCCGGTCATTAATTTTCCCAGTCATAAATTAACCCGCTATAATATTCCCGAATCCCGAGTAAGGTAAGCTAAAAGTAAATTACGGAGACAGAACAGATAAAAAATATCATCAATAAATAGATTTCGTTTACATGAATGCATAACCACTAACCAGCGAGATCAATAGATTAATTTAAGGTCTACTTCTAAACTTCTTCTCCCCTGGTAAGTCCAGTGAATCGATGGCAAAAATAAAGGAAGAAAACGTATTTAGTATAGACAGGAAATTATAATCAACAGACATTACGTAACGTAGACAATAGACATACAGTTTTATAAGCTTTTCGGATAGTAACGAAATACGTAAGCTTAAATGCGAGACTATAAGTATATAAATTAACGGCTCTTTACGAATATTTTAGCATATTGGAAATAATGAATACCAACTTTAGTTAACTCAGGAGCTGATGTCTGAGCCTAAAGCAACTCTTTGATCTTATATTGCTCAATCAGGGAGTATAAATACAGTGAAACCTCTTTATATCTTTATGATGGGGTATTATATGAGATGCTTTACAGATTCTTTGAGAAGCTTCAGATACTAGGAACTTAGGAAGAGAGGAGTGAGGACTGTAGGTGGTAATCATAAATATTGAGTTTCTCGGATTTAAATGATTGAGATGGATCTGACTATATGATAGAGGTGGTTTTCTTAATGGAAAACACACTAATCAATAACTTGGACCAAAATTTGTAATATTTCTTAGAAAATTGAGGAAAAAAAGTTATGGGAAGAAAACCAAAACGTATCAACAAACGTGATAGACTAAAACTATTACCTAATCAGAAAAACAACAACTGCACTAATCAAACAATCGATAATTCCATCACATGGTAATAATTCTTAAGACGCGCGCAAGTCACGTGACCTAAAGCAAGTCACGTGATCAATTAAATCTTACTTAGGCTCCCCGGGGCACCATGAAGTGGGTGGCATGTGCCATGCACCACTTGATCCGTTCTGTCTGGACTTGCAGACTCTTGCTTGAGATTCAAGTATTTATATTGCCAACAAGTTACAACTTCAGGTGTCATGAAAGGTGCATTCTGAACTGTCGGTAATCTTTTTGGTTTTTTTGCGGGAAATGTTGGAAATAAAAGATATTTCTTTACGTTCCAACACGACCACAAAGATCCGGCGAAGATGAAATGTTCTTCAGACGATGCAAGTATTGAAGTGACCATGACTATTTTACATGTACTATTACTATCATGTGTAAATTCATCAGTGATAAAGCACCGAGCAACCGCAGTGGGTGGTATCCATAGTGCATGTCTCTCAATCGCTTACATCATTAAGTGATTAAGCCGTAATCAAGTCATGTCCTCGTGCATCATCATGACAAATAGTTTCGTTATTATTGCTTTATCAATCACCAATTTCCAACAAATATCCTTTTTGAAATCATCATTTCAGAAAAACTAAGCAATTGTGATCAGATTTTTAGATAAAAAAGGATTATATTTGCCCGCGGCTAAAGTAAAAGAGTACTTTTTCAAATAGAATGATGAGAATTAGCTAATTTTTGTTAGGTAAAATATAAGTGGCAGGGAGGCAGTGAGGCAGGGAGGCAGGGAGGCAGGGAGGCAGGGGGCAGGGAGGCAGGGAGGCAGGGAGGCAGGAAGGCAGGGAGGCAGGGAGGCAGGGAGGCAGGGAGGCAGGGAGGCAGGGAGGCAGGGAGGCAGGGAGGCAGGGAGGCAGGGAGGCAGGGAGGCAGGGAGGCAGGGAGGCAGGGAGGCAGGGAGGCAGGGAGGCAGGGAGGCAGGGAGGCAGGGAGGCAGGGAGGCAGGGAGGCAGGGAGGCAGGGAGGCAGGGAGGCAGGGAGGCAGGGAGGCAGGGAAGCAGGGAGGCAGGGAGGCAGGGAGGCAGGGAGGCAGGGAAGCAGGGAGGCAGGGAGGCAGGGAGGCAGGGAGGCAGGGAAGCAGGGAGGCAGGGAGGTACCGGGATAGAAGCTGGAGTTTTTATTCCATCCCGAAAAGTGGACATTAAAGTACCCGTATTTAATGGTTTGCTTTTAATGAATAAACAGTAGGTAGAGCTGCTATAGTAGCTTTTAATTAATGCAGTTCTGTACCTTGTTCTCACCTGTTTCTAAAAGCACGTTAAATACCTTACATGGGGACCCCAGGCTATTATGTTCATAAACATAATAGAGATTCGGCGGAATGACAGGCTGAGCGCGGCCAGTAATAAATACCATGACTGTTAAATAGTTATTCAGTTGGTTGATTGTGGAGCAGTAAAGAAGGCAACACTTTTCTTTTCTTTTTAGAGAGGCTGTGTCTATTTGTAAAGCTCTAGAAATAGAATTAGAAAATGAACGCGTGATCGCATACTCGCATTTTAGGCATTAACGCGTGAGAACGTCAACTATTTAGCCTCTGCTGGCCCGTTATTGACTCTGATTAAGTACCATTGGCATTACCTAATTTAGTGAAATGCTGGTCGTGTCTTTAAATGAAGATTATTATAATCCGCCACTTGTAATGACTGTAATTTACAATTTTATTGAGAAATGGTTCAGATATGACCACTTCTTTGATGCTCTGTTTGAATTCGCACATGAGTTAGCAGCAGTTAACATGACCACCTTTTTAAATATTTTTAGGCTCTGTTCAAGTTTGGGAGATTTTGTAAACAGCCGTCCTGCCGTCTGAAATATGAAAACTAAAGAAAGCTTCAAACGGATCAACAACATCACTATTATCATGTTAAGGTTCTACATCTAATCTTATATAGGTACTTAAACTTGGTATCTGAAAGAAAGAAACTTATAGATCCCAGCACTAAGTAAGAACCACGAGTCTAACTAAGCTACACATCAAGACACACACAAAGGCTAATTCCTGAGGTTGAAGCACTGTAGCACTGCACGATTCTAGTTAACTTGGCAGGGGGTACTGTGATAATATCACACAGCACTGTGATATAGCAGAGCCGCGTAATACCGTGTGTAGTGTTTATTAGCACTTATAGTTATTATAGTGTAATGTGCGAACTTGAACAAACTTAGTATAGTATATTAATAATGACTGACTTGACTTAAGGCGGGTAGTATTCCCGAGATCCACTGACAACAGTTCTCCACAACTTTCTGTCCTCCATCAGTCTAGCTATCTCATCTACTGATTTCAGCCCAGTATTTGCTTTTAGGTTATCTGGTAGTGTTAAGTAAGGTCGCCCCCTGCTAGTGTGCCCATGACTCGGCTTCCAGAGGATCAGTTTGTTCAGTGTCAGCTCCGGATGTCGGTGAGCATGACCTGCAAGTCTGAGTCTTCGTTGGGTTATCTTGGACCATACAGGCTGTGGTTGCTGACATGGTCTCGATATTGATTGATGTTAAGGGCCATTCTTAACATTCGTGTATAGCAACCATTAACCATCTTCTCTAGCCTTTTCGTCATAGTCCAAGTCTCGGAACCGTATAAAAGCACCGACCCGACTAGTGCTGTGAACACTCTGGTCTCGATAGACTTTCCCCAGTCATGCTCCCCATGCTCTTCCTTTCCTCACCCTGATATCACTCTCACTGTCTCTGATTCTAGAACCAAGATAGGTAAAGTCTTCCACGTGCTCTATTGTGTTGTTACCCAGGGACTTGATGGTATCAGGGTTCTCGATGTTCTGAGTAATGAATTTGGTTTTCCCTTCAATCATTTTAAGTCCCACTGTAGCAGCAACCCTTTCTACCTCTAGCATCAGTGTCTCTGCCTCCTTTACAGTATCTGCTATCAGAGCAATGTCATCTGCAAAACCAGTGTCTGATATCTTCTCCGCCTTGACTGTCCTACTCCGATAAGGCTTAATGGTAAATCCTATTTCAGGGTGCTTGCTTAAGGCTTGTCTCATGCAATAGTCAAGGGCTATAATGAACAAGTATGGTGCTAACGTATGTCCTCGAGGCTTGAAGAACTCCTGCCAGGATATCAAATAGCTCGGTGTCCCCATCTGGTGTTATAACTTTGCCCTTCGTGTTTACATAGAGTAGATTAATGATATCTACAATACTGTCCGGTATTCCATAGGCCTTTAGTATTTGCATCAAAATTCCCCGGTGAAGTGAATCAAAGGCCTTTTTAAAATCGACAAACACCATAGCTGCCGGTAAATTTTTCTGTCTAGCCCCCTCTAAAATCCTTCTGAGTGCCAAGATATGACTAGTAGTAGACCGTTCTTCCCGAAAACAATCTTTGACTTCACCATCTTTGACTTCACTTGTAGCTAAGACTCTAAATAGAATGGTGCTTAATAGGATCCAGCCGGCTATAGAAGGGGTACTCAGGGACACTCAAAATGGTTTTCGGGAAGGACGGTGCACTACTAGTCATATTAATAATATATTATTATTATTATAATAATATAATGGAAGGTGCAGTGGGTGGGATAGGGAGAGGGGTGGGGGATCAGCCGGGTTGGCTAATAGAATATCACGAGGCGGTGTATATAACGTGTCAACTCAAGCAGGTCCTTGGTTTCTAAATTGTGCACTCACCAAAATTATAGAATTGTTCTCACTTTGCAGTGACCGGCCCTGTACAGGGGTATTTTTCCCTTAACATGATAGTATGAACTTCTGTGCACAATTTTTTCCGTTCACCCTTTTGTAAAAAGGCAATAGTGAAAGGTTA